CAACACTCTCAGGAAGCTCCTGCAGCGCTCTTTGGTGGAGTCCATCTGGTCCTGCTGATTTATACATGGCTAGCTTTTCTGGTTGGTTTTGCACCCGCTCGGCACCCACAGCGGGGAGGCTGCCAATCCCACCATGCCCCTGTGAGCTGTCTCTCGCTTGTCTTTCCCCTTGGTCTGGTGAAACACCGACGCAAAGTGGGCATTCAGGAGTTCAGCTGTTTCCTGAGTGCCCGTTACCAGCTGTTCCGAGGTGCTCAGCAGGGTCCCCACGCTAACATTTGTTTTCCTTCTGCTCCCTACATACCTAAAGGACTTCTTATTGTCCTGGGCTCCCTTGGCTAACTTAAACTCCGTCGCTGCCTTAGCTTTCCTGACCATTTCCTTACAAGTGCAGACCACTATTGTATAGTCCTCCTTGAGTGTCCCTAGCTTCCGCTGCGTGTACACCTCTTCTTTCTTTGTCAAGAGGACCGCAATGTCCCTGTTGAGCCCGGAGGGCTTGCCAGCCCTTCTACTACCTTTCCTCTTCATGGGAATGGTTTCTTTAGTGCTTTGAGGATCGTGTCCTTGAGGAAGAACCACTCTTTGTGCACCACATTTGCCTTCCCTTCCTGGTTCCACATCACCTCCCCTACTAATCCCCTGAGCCTGTTGAGGTTGCAGGAGCCTTCGCTCCGGGTGCACCTGTGCATCTAGCAGCGCGGCGGGCACCAGGTGTGCCAGGGCCCCGGGCAGGGGACGAGCAGTGTCGCAGGCCTGGGAGCTGCGAGTGCGCCCAGCACCTCTGCCACGGCCATGTCCTGCATCTCAGAGATAAGTGAGCACCGCGGGTGCAGGAGCAGCTCTGTGCTGAGCAGCACTTGACCACAAAGAGGGGGCTGCAGCAGGTGCTGGGGGAGGAGCTGCGATCTCTGGGTTCACAGTGGCTTTTGAAAACACTACCGAGTCTTATCCTGCAGGTGCCTGAGTAACTTGAGAAAGGCTGATGATCTGAGCTGCCCACGTCTCCAAGGTGCAGGAAACCACCGCGCGGACTCTCAGGATGAGGCTTGCGAGAACCCCGGGCAGTTCCTAGAAGAGGCCACAATGGCGATGAGGGACCAGAGCTGGGACCTCGCCGCTGCTCCTGGCTTTGCTGCCGCTCGCCCATTGACCCCAGGCACCTCGCTTCTCTCTGCCCTTCCTGCAGCAGCTCTGCTGCTACGGGAGCGATCTCGTCTCTGTCCAGGCGTGCTCGGCCGTGCACCGTGTCTGACCCTCCACCCTGCTCCGCTCCCCGCACCGGGCAGCAGGGGGTCCTAGGGCATGGCTGGGGTCTCTGACCTGCGGGGAAGCCTCGGGTAGAGGTGGTGCTGGAGCAGGGCCGTGCCGGGATGGCCTGGAAGCAGCACTGTCACCCTCCATTCCCCATGCTCCTGCCTCGCCCGGGCTGGGAGCTGGCTCTGGAAACCAGCAGGGAAGGTTTTGTTTGACTGGGACTCACTCTGGTTTTTGCTTTTTTGCCTCCCCTCCCCACTTGCCATTAGTCAGATCAGAACCAAACGCCTCCTCTGCCTCTCTGCCGAGCCCTGCCTGGCACAAGGGAGCATCCCTGGTTACGGGATGTGCGACAGCGCTGAGGTTTGGCTGGGAACCATGTGGCTCCCGGGTCCAACGGCCGGGGAAGTTCGTGCTCTGGCTGGGGCTTCGTTTTGCACGCCTGGTCCCACAGCAGTGCATGTGCGTGGGGAGTCCAGGCAAGCTCTCCGCAGCTAGACACCTTCAACACCTCCCTCCTTGCTAAACACCTTTGGGTGCAGCACGCACCTGGGACCTGCTGGCCCCGCAGCACAGCTGGCCTGCCCGTGCTCACAGTATATCCCTGCTGGCTTTGCAGCCATGCTAGCTGGCTTTGCAAGCACACTGGGCGCAGGGGGACCAGTGCTGGTGGAAAGCAAGAGGTGGGAGAATTTCATAGGGCATAGGAGGGTGCTGGGACAGTTAGCACCAGGCCAGAGCTGCTGGATTGTGCACAGCTCATTTTTCCAGACCTTGCATGCCCACATGCAGCCGTGCCAGGAGGAGAGGTAGCCAAGCTCTGGCTGCACGTGGACGGGCTGAAGTCCAAGCTGGGAAGGGGTGCGCTGGTCCCAACCAGCCCCCTCCCACCACCCGGCTCAGCACTGAAAGTTGTGCAGGGCGTGAGGGGCTGTGAAACAGCAAGTGCCAGAGTTCCTGTTTCATCGGGCAGATAGCAGGAGCGTGCCCAAGGTCTGATGTGTGGGGGCAGCCGGGGCAGACGCTTGGGCTCCCCATGTGAGATCCCACCCCAGCAGCCCGGAGCAGGAAAGGTGTAGCCCTTTGCAGCACAGCAACTTGCGGTGCGCTTGCAGAAACCACAGCCCGGCATGACTGATGAGCGTGTGATGCTGACCTTTAGCATGCAACAAGCCCCCGAGGAGGGCCCGGGGAGGGGGAAGCAAGCCACTGCTGGCTTTTAGTTTCCTTTCCTTGCAGGCAGTTGCTGTTCCTGGCCTGGGCTATGCACGCCTGACTGCAAACCTTCGGTTGGGAGAAGTGGAGCCCAAGCAGCCAGGCCCGGGCAGGGCGATCGGCATTGTGAGGAGACAATTCCCATGTTCAGCCCCCCAAACTGGCCTTGTTTCATGGCAGCTGGGAAAGGTTTGGCTCTGCCACTTCCTGCAGAAACCCAGGGGCCTTCAGACAGACCAAAAAGCCTCCCTGGCATGTTCCTCTGGTCCAAAAGCCACTTATATCCCGAACAGCATTTGCCCCTCATTTGCCATGCAGTTTGCTGCCATGCCACGGGGCAAAGACAGGTGTTTGTACCTGACACACGGGTCACTGGGAACCAAACACAGGGGTCTTCAGCCAGCTTTGCTCTGTGCTTCTCCCACGCCCCATCATCCCCTTTGCTGACCTGGGGCCAGAAGCCAGTTCCCAGCACACGCCAAGTGACCGGCTGCCTTGGGCTCCAACCTGCAGGCTCTGCGTGTTTGCACGGCAGAGCGCAGAGGCACCGGGGAGCCAAGGGAGGCTGCAGCTGTGTGCGCGGTCCCTGCCCCACGCAGGAAGAGACTGGCTGCTTGCCTCCACGCACAGCGACCCCGTGCCCGCTGCCTTCCCTGCAGGAGCATGGGTGCATGAGAGTGCCGATGGCGGACCCACGTAGTGGTGGGGCAACAGGGTGGAGGCAAGGTTGGGTCTCCCCAAGCCTCCCTCCAGTGCCACCGAATCTGAGTTTTCCACCCCACTGCCACCTGCTCTGCCTAAGCAGTGGCAGCAGCGCAGGGCTGGGCAGGGGGGCAGCGAGGGGCGTCTGGGCCCTGGCTTGCTGTACCCGTCTCTAGCCAGGTATCAGGAGCCCGACTGCCAAACAGTGAGTCACGCGAAACCTGGCTCGTGGCAATGGCAGAGGTGATGTCCTCCTCACAGCGTAGCCAGAGCATGACTGGCAGGGACTCGTGGCAACACCCTGGCAGTGTGCTGAGTAGCAAGGCTGCTTTCACAAGGCTGCTGTCCCAGGGACAGGTCACCCCAGCGCTGCCAGGGCAGGGCACACCGGTGCCAGGAGGTGCGTGGGTTATGTAAGGCAGTTCGGGTGCTGCATCGGGAGCGTGTCGGTCCAGCCCCGAACACAACCCCGGGCTAGCGTCGCAGGGAAGAGCCTCCCGGAGAGGCTCATTTTCCCCCTGCTTGTGCCCACCCAGCTCTCAACAAGCAGCAGGTTTGGGAGGGAGGGAGAGAGATGTATGCACGTGTTTCTCCCGGCGTCCCCCTCCCCAGCAGAGCCGCAGGGCGAGAGACAGCAAGCAGAGGACATGAAGCCTGCTTCTTCCGAGAGGCTTTCTCCAGCTTGAGATGAAACATTTCTCTGTTAAGAGAACAGCACAGGCCTTTTGGAATGAAACTACCTTCTGCACCAAAGAAAACCAGTGTTTCATCTTGAAAACGCTGCAATGACAGGCTCAGACCCTGCGTGGTTGTGGCCAGGGGAGGGGGTTTCCCAGACAAAGCGATCTGCCAGCGCTCGCTCGCGGCGGCCTGGACTCGCTGGCTGGAGTGTTTCGAGGACACCTGTCCTCCAGCCGGCGCAGAAGGCAGGCGAGCAGGTTTGTCCACCCCGGCCTCGTCCCTTGAGTCAGATTCCTGTTTGGGAATTCATGCGAAACCGTGCAGCTCCCTGCGGAAAGCTCCCAAGGCAGGAGGAGGAAACTGGGCAGCTCGGGGCTGGGCGGGGGTGAGCCGTGGCACGGGGCAGAGGCATCGTGCCAGGGTCTCCGGGAGCCCAGCAGCTTTCTGAGTACATCCGTACCTTGTGGGGTCCAAACAGAGCATCTTCGCCCTCCTGCCGGTGTCCGGGGAGCCGTCCCTTCCTGAAGGACGTGGCCCAGCCCACGGAAAGCCGGGGCCCTGCCTAGCGCTTCCCTCTGCCCCTCGTTTGGCCGCGCGAGTCGCTGCCTGCCACGGGGCAAAGGCAGGTGCTCGTACCAGACGCGCAAGTAATTGGGGAGCAAACACCCAGCCATGCTGAGGGACAGGTCCGACCAGTTCCTGCCGGGATTGCAGCGGCTGTGAGCACGCAGCGGGGCGCACACTCTGCCCCGTCGCGCCGCGCTGACGGCTCGCTCTCCACGACACTCTGCGCAGCGGGCATGGCCCTGGCAGCGCGGTGCCCCTTGGCTTGGCAGCCTCACCGCTCTGTGCGCCTGATGGTGGATCTCCACAGGACCCGGGCTTGTCTCCTCCCGTCTCTAGAGGATTCGCCCCTTGGAGCGGTAGGCGGGAGGATGGAGCGAGGCAGGCTGGCAGCCAGGCTCCAGGCCCTGGGGCACCATTTTGTCTCTCTGTGCCTCACTTTGCCCATCAGTGAAAGGGGCAGAATGGCATTTGCATGCCCAGCAGGGACTGTGAGGCCAGGCTAGTGACTATGAGGGCAGCACCTGGTGAGAGAGGTGCCAGCAGAGCATAAAGGATGGCTGCTCAGAGACTGCATGCAGGGGCAGGTGTCCAGCCCTCGGTGCCAGGACCAGTGAGTCATGGAGGGAAAGGTTCTGGGCCCGGTGCTCCGTGTGGAGGCCGTGGAGCTGCCCTGGTGTTCTGGGCCAGAGGGCAGGGTCCGGGGTGGGAGCAGTGTGGCCCAATGCACTAGGCATGGGCTGGGCAGCCAGGCACTCCCCACCTGCTCCGCGAGCTTGACTTTGTTCAACTGTGCCTCAGTTTCCCCTTCTGCTCAATGAGGGCGATCCCTTGTGGGTGTGCCCACGTTGCTAAGTGTGGTTGCTTGTGGTGTGGGCTCCAGCATCCCCGTTTGGAGAGGGCATCCCCCGGTGAGCGTGCTGGGGTTGAAGCGCCCACATCCCTCTGGGGCAGGCAGCATCCTGCTGCTCAGGGTCCACCCCGATGCCAGCCGTGGGGACTGCATCCCATTGCAACATCTGAGCCGCTATTTGGACCTGGCTGCACAGGTTCCTTACCCCGCGTGAGGCAGCCCAGGTGGGCCACGCTGGCCTTCATTTCCAGCCTTCAGGCTGGTGCAAGGGCCTGTTGGCCTGGCTGGTGCAGGCCCTGCGTGGGCAGAGGTGGACCCTGGCTAACGCTGTTGCCTGGCCAGGCCCCAGGGCACCAGGGAAGAGAGCCAGGCTCCGGCGGGCGAGATGCCGGCGAGCTGGGAGCAGAGGGTCAATTGGAAGGAAAGGGCACGGTGCAGGCTGGGCACGGTGAGATGCAGAGCAGATGCTTGGCAGCTCTGCGCATCCTGCAGGCTTGTGTGGTTTAGACTGATTTAATCTTGTCGAGTGTCTGCTACTCAAATGATTCCTATGACTTTCTGTTTCTGCCCCAATGCACCACTTGACCTTGAGCCCCGTGCCCTGGCGCAGGTGTAACTTCCTTGCATTGCAGCCTCCCACAGCTACCTGCAGCTGCTGCTGGTTCAGTGCTGGCACCTACCTCCCTGGCCCGCGGTGGGCCCGAGCTGTCCTGTCCCACCCTCACCTGCTCCCTTCCCAGCCAGGACTGGGTGAGAGAGTCAGCTCTGGAAGGCCGTGTGGATCTGTGTTGCGGGCTCGTCCTAGCTGGGATCCTGCTTGCACCTAGAGCTTGCCAGCCGGGAGCAAGGTGCACAGGCTGTTGCCCCCTCCCCGTGAGCGGGATGCACGATTGCAGCACGGGCTGAGCAGCTTCCTGGAAACGGGGGAGACCCTCGGAGCTGGACGATTCCTCCCTCTATTTGAAATGCTCTGGCTGACCCCAGTGACGCACCCCGCAGAGCCCCGCTGGGTCTGGCCAGCCGAGGGCCTGGGCTGTCCTCGTGGAGGGCTTGCTGCGTTAATGCCCATGCTGTGGTGATGGCCCCTGGTGCTGCGCAAGCCCGTTGCTCAGCCCTGATTCATATCACACCCTGCGCACCCTGGGAGGTGCCCTGCCCTGCTCCAGCAGCTGGTGCCAAGGTGGCCCTGGTGAACCACCAGCGAGGGCTGATGAGATCCGAGCAGCCACGGACCCTCCTCCGAAGCTGCCCGGGTGCTGCTCGCCCTGCCCGAGAGCCCAGTGCAGTTCAGACCCTTGTTCCTTGAGCTAGGCCTGTGGCTGGAGGGCAGAGCGGTCATCTCCCTGTGACCAAAGTGGTGTATGACCCTCTGTGCGCAGCCAGGGCACCGGGCAGCCGCCCGCAGGAGGCACCTGACCCTTGCTCAGCTCGGCCTGAAGTGGTGTATGACCCTCTGTGCGCAGCCAGGGCACGGGGCAGCCGCCCGCAGGTGGACCCTGACCCTTGCTCAGCTCGGCCTGGCCTGGCCTGGCCTGGCCTGGCTTGCCCGTGAGCTGCCGGAGCTGCCATGCCTTTGGGCTCCTGTTCCCTGTTAAGGGAGCAGCTCTCCGTGGGCTCAGCTCCGTGGGCCAGCAGGCCATGAGATTTCCTGTCCTGCTCCCGGCCTTTCCAGCGAGTTTGGGTCAGGCGTGCGCTGAGGCGGGGGTCACCACGGGAAGGAGGTGGGTGCTGCACGCGTGCCCCCGCTAGGACAGGCGGTGGCCACAGCTGCGCTGTGCGCTCTCTGGGGACAGTCCAGCGACCCCGTCCAGAGCCAGCAGCTGCGGACCGTCTCCGGCACGGTGGGGTCGCTGACACCAGCCACGTTCTTGCCCTGGGGCCGTCCCCGGATGGTGGCTGCTTGTCCCTGTAACGGTCTTGTGTCCTGGGCTGAGTGCTCGCTTGCTCCCTGGGGAGGCGGCTGCCAGCGCCAGCGTGCAGCAAGCCGGATCGATCCGGTGCTGCGTGCGCGCTGTTTGCATGAAGCTTCGAGAGCATTTTTGTGGCACAACTCACGCGGCCGGGCCGAGACCCCGCAGCCCCCAGAAGACAGTGCTGGGTGGGGAAAAAGCAGTGATCTTAGCTCGGTGTTTGCCCGCGCCTGGCTTGTTCCCTGTGTGCATGTAGTGGGCCGGGGGGGCCGGGGGTTCCCTGTGGCCCTGCCCACGCCCCTCCTGGCACTGAGCGGGGATTGCCCCACGCGGCGTCTCCCGGCAGACCGCTGGTTGGTAGTACGTACAGCGAGCGGGGGATTTAAAGCCGAGATCAGTTAGCAACAACCCGAAGTTTGCCCCGAGCTCAGAGCAGGGGCCGTCGGCGGAGGAAGGGGGCGGCTGGCTCCGGCCGGTAAAGGGCATCGGGAGAGAGGACCTTGAGGAAAGGAAGCAAACAAGCCGTGGGAGTGACGGACCCGCGGGGCGGCATTCCAGCACGCAGGAAGTTTCAGGGCTTGGAGAGCAGCAATTATTACTGCTGCTAATTACCCCCTGCCTGTTACGTCGTGTGCTCCAGATGAGTCACTACGGGGTGATCACTGGGAACAGGCTCCCAGCTTCCCGAGTTGCATCAAGTGGGGCAAGATGGCCGTGGCCGGGTTCTGGCCACAAAGGAGCCTCCCGGGAGGCCCAC